GTATATATATATATATATATATATATATATATGCTTCCTTGGCTTGGCCACCAAATTTCCTTCAACTCCAGGCCATAGTGGAATAAGCTCTCTCTAGGATCGGAAGCCATGAAGGTCTGTAAGGTGGTAGGCACGAAATATTAACTTCCAGGTGATTGGTGTATTAAGAAAGTAGATACGCAATCTATCTAAATTGTATTTGTAGCATAAATTCAATCAACAACATAGACGCAGACCGATTAAAGCTAAAGTCAACCAGTTGCCCTAGTCAACAGCCATTTAGTCAGTCGGTCAAATTACTAACATTCGACTGCTTTTCCCCTATTTCATGATCGTATTCCTCTTCTTCTTCCGGTAAATACTTGTCCAAGTCATTATGTTTTTTTAGATACCTCAATCACACTTGATTTATAGGTCGAACAGACAAGTCACATCGGTGTGGAGAGATGAAAAACACGGAAAGCAAAAAAGTTTCGAACATTGAGGGTTATTCCTATAGTAAAAAGGTCAAAGTGTGGGCGTCTGTGGTCCAGTATTCGATGGGGAAAATGGCAGTGGTGAGAGAAATAAAGGAAACTAATTCATCCATCTGTTCGACTTATTCGAACGCTCGAAATCTAATGGACTACGGCTTCATTACAAGTAGCCAAGTGCCTGCTTACTCTGTTAATTATCATGCTGGCTGTTTCCTACTGTCTGAAATCTTATTGTGAGGGCAGTTGGCTTTTAAAGTTATGAAATATCAATAAGTCTCAGCAAATGTTACCATTTGGAGTTTACCTTAAAAGGGCAATTTGTTCCCCTAAATTTAGATCTTAGTTTAAAGCTCACTGTAAAAATTAAGTTCGAAATCAATAAGGTAAAAGTTTCAAGAAATTGAGCCGGGGATGCTAAGTTGATTGACTGAATGACCGAGCCAACTAAAATAGATGACAAAAAACTATTGATGCAATGCAGTTCGGTTGGATATAATTAGATTACATCAAACAGGCTATTTATATATGTAGATGCCTCAAATCTAGACTTAATTACCAAGTAATTTTCATGCGTCTTGATTGAACAAAAGTAGGGGTGGAAATGGTTCATTTAAGGATCAAACAGAGAAGTAACCTACTTTCGAGATACTGTGAGCAATAGAAAATTCCATTGATCCGTTCAAGATCCGACCCCAAATGGTCTAGGTGAGTTCATGTTTGTGATTAAGTGATTGGCTATTCCCCTTCAACTCATTTACGGCCAGAACAGGTAGATGAGACTAAAATGTTCACCGGAATTCATCTATTGGCTGTAGAATCATTCCTTATATAATGCGTCCGAGATTGGAAATATTTTTTTCCATAACCAATAGTATCATTGGCAAAATGAATCTCGTTATAGGCTTTATTAATGAGCAATCGTCTATACATGGGGTCAGCACATCCAAGACTTTGTTAAGCAAGAAAAGCTCAGCAAATCACATGAGTTCATTTTCAGGTTGTCTCTTAGTGGGTTAATTGTTTCTTACAATTCCATAACTGCTGTGTTTAATGCCAAGTGGTCAATTGAAGAAGTAAATGATTGGTTATTTAATAGTATTTAATGTGTAATTCAACACTACCGGTAAATGCCCTGTGCAACCAAAAATATCCTCAACCATAAAAACGGCTTTACAATCGAGTTTCATTCAAGAATGGGACTAATTTTGGTTCATTTTTTACATGGATTAGCCATACCTTACCTCCGCACTTATGTTGACTTGGTGTGGGGTGTGAGATAGACTAACCTCCACCTGGTACACCCTGGGCAACGTATATTCATACGACATAAATGTCTATTAACTGGCAGTTGACTTCCGACTTCAAACTACCATGACCCCACTGTATGTCGTATTCGACCCCTTCGCAGTACTCATCTAGCCTTTTCTCTGCCTTTGTGTCTGTCTGTCTCTTTTACATCTGTGAACCGCTCTTCTTTTCCCCTGTCGAATTTTTCTCACTTTAATGTTCCTCTTCCTTTCTGTGAAGCCCGAAGTCAGCTAAAGGGCTAATGATAACTATCAAAATGCCTGCCATTTGGGAAAAAAATGTTGGCTTGGTGTCGTAGGGATAGTGCAAATCGGCAGTTGTTTATTTGGAACAAAAATACTGTTGGTAGTTAAAACCGATAAACTTCAGCATAGCATTTCCTAAAAGCCCAACAGTTTCCAAAGTTGAAATCGGTTCAAGTACCCATATTTAAGACCAGGTTGGTCCAAATATATTTATTTATCTATTTCAAATGGCAGGCGTTATGATATGTATCATTAGCCCTTTAGTTGACTTCGGGCTTCACAGAAAGGAAGATGAACATCCAACTGGTAAAAAGTCGAGAGGGGGACAGAATAATGATTCACAGACGTAAAAGATACAGACAGACACAAAGGTAGGAAAAAGGTGAGGTGAATACTGTGGAATTATTCGAATATGAAATGTAATGGGGTCATGGTAGTTTGAAGTCAGAAGTCAACTGCCGGTTAAAAGACTTTTTTGCCGTATGAGTATACGTCGCCCAGGGTGCACCACGTGGAGATAAGTCTATCGCACACCTCTGGTCCAAATATTAGTATTTCTCACCCCTTAAATACTGTCCTGTGCGTTTCTTGTCTAATTACTCCTTTTTTAATCGCTCAGTGGAATAGATGCAATTTTTTAAATATCGATTAATTTCCGGTCACATAAAGTTAAAATTTCTCGTTATTTTCGCTATGCGAAAATAGGGACATCTATCCCGGTGACCGAATCAGATATACTTCTCCTGTCGTTAATAATTACGCACTTCNACTTCAAGCTACCATGGCCGACTGCTTGTCATAGTCGACCCCTTCCACAGTACTCATCTTGCATCTGTGAATCGCTTTTCTGTTCCCCACCCCTCGACTTTAAATCTGTGAATCGCTCTACTGTTCCCCACCCCTCGACTTTCTCTACTTTGATGAACCCTCCCTCTGTGAAGCCTGAAGTCAGCTAATTTGATGAACCTTCCCCCTGTGAAGCCCGAAGTCAGCTAAGTTGATGTTCCTTCCCCTCTGTGAAGCCTGAAAGTCAACTAATTCTAATGATATCTATCAAAACGCCTGTCATTTGAAATAAAACTAATGACATCTATCAAAACGCCTGCCATTTGGAATAAATAAATATTCATACGGCAAAAAAGTCTCTTAACTCGGCAGTTGACTTCAAACTATTATGATCAGCCTAATCTAAGAGAAGTAGGGTGGCTTCAAATCGCATGAAAGTAAGATAATGACAAGTCTGAATTGAAAAACAATTAACATGCTGCTTCTGATTCCATGACTCTCAACGGTACTCCACTTTAAAATGATAAGAGAAAAATTTTCAGTATCATGAAAAATCAGCACAATAATAAAATGAAATGTGTTCAATCTAAACTTAAATATCCCGAAATAACTAAACGAATAGACGGGTTATAATAATAAAATTTAAACTGAGTGCTCAAAGATATATGAAATTACGATTTACTTAATGCATCAGACTGTTGTCCACCGCTTGAAATAGCCGTTCTAGGCGCGAAGATGTGTCCAATGTCAAAAGAATTTCCAGGTGAAGATGAAGATCTTGTACTGGAAGATGTTGACGACGAAGAAGAGGACGAACTACTTCTTGACGATGCAGATTTCGATCGATAACGATATTTTAGTCGCCTTTGTACCCACTTTTTCGATCTTTTACAGCACCTTCGACATCGACGGCATATTTGACGGCACTTTTTACATCGAGGCGAGGTCTTACAGTGCTTGTATGCAGCTCGAAATGCTGCATAAATCCAGGAAAATACTACAAATGGAGGTGGAAGAAGCGGACGGGATTCATACTCGGTAATTATGGAGTATCGTAAGTATTTGTAAATCAATTCTGATTGGGCCAATTCTGCGGAGTAGATGCTATTGAATACGGCGATGATCACACTCAGCATGAGAACAATTGAGTAGAGAAGATAAATGACATCCATAGTTGGAACCATTTCATAGAGTGGAGTTTCGGTCAAATTCACTCCCCAATCTTTAGCTGTAGAGAAAAAGAGATTAAACTTATTAAAAAATCAAACTACTGAATTGTAACAAGTATATAGCTTACGATCAATCTCTGGTGCGTAGACTTCACCATACAACATGAAGTAAGGCTCTAAGAGGACATTTTTGAAAGCTTCCAAGGATAATGAGGTCCGATTCATCACCATAATACCCTCACGAAGAGTTCCAAATGCCACAAGAGGTATGAAAAGCAGGCTTAACATAGGTATCATGGCTCGAACCATTTTGACAATGAGGTAGATATAGGGACCAGAGAAATGCCAAATTTGCATTAATTCCAAGAAGCGCATATTCCAAAACAAGCAACAACAGACTAGAATATTTCGTCCCCAGAGGAAAAGCATCCTATTTTGCAGACCTATAAGTCGAACAATCACACCAATCACCGAGAAAAAGCTGAGAATGAAATCGTAGATGTTCCAGAAAGACGTTAGGCTAACTCTTAGCTTTTGCCAGTAACTAATACCTGGTGATAGATTCACCTAAAATAAGGAAGTAGAGACAGAAGAACTTCGATAAACTAGAGGGGAAATGGGGGGGAGGAGGGGGGGGGGGAAGATGAGACCTACCTCTCGAAATTTGTCTATGTAATAGGTAATAATGTGGAGATAGATGTAGATTTCCAGCCCATTTAGAGATGCGTAAGGCACAGTCACAAGGCTGTAGCATATAAACATAAGCAGGAAGACCACATAGAGAAGCTGGAATGAAGAAAAAGGAAAATGAGCGAAAATGATCTCACAAGAGAAAGGGCTACCTACCACATGAAGATAGAACCTCGTGACAGGAGCAGAGAAGAACTCGTAGACCTTCTTTCGCCAAGAGAGCTGATGGTGGTGAGGTTCGGGTGGAGGTAGAGCATCCTGGGGTGAGCCAGGGTCTCCTGCATTTCCAAGGTAATCAGCCGCCGAGGAGATATAAGCTGCCGTTCCAGTGATTTGAGCAGCTCCAGAGAAAGAAGTTGCCCGCTTATGTGAGACGCGATCAGTTGGCAGCGAGCACATACTTGCTCTATTAAGAGTATGTGAACAAGCATTACTCAGTGGAAATGGTAACCACAATTAATCAATCATGAACAAGCATTTGCCGACATTCGGAATTGAAGTAGCCACTAACTAAGTCGTAAAATTTCATTTAAATAAAAAAACCGAGATAGCTCGACTTTACTCTCATTGTCTTTTGCGCCTCCTCAATCCGAATAGCTTTACTGCTAGCTATCCACCCCATTCCCCATCCCCACTCCCACCCTACTCTCCTTCTCTGCCTCCCTTATTGATTGAACTTAACAAACGCGATCTGTCATTAACATCAATCGATGCTAATCGATCTCGTAGGACTTGGCGCACTCCTCATAATGAGTTACTTACCTAATTTTGTTATCTGGCACAATTTTCGCCTCCTCTGTTTGATGTCTGTGTTGTTTCCTTCTGAAGTCAGTAGTTTGAATATCACTGCTACTGACTTGATGGTGCTGTTGAAGGTCTCCATTGGGCAAAGGCGTCAAATCATTCATAGACCTTCGTCGCCGGTGTCTATGCCGCTTACGATGATGGAAATGCACCTTTGGGGCGGGTTGGCTTATCTGAATGGTGGGATTTTCGAAGGTGACTTCGGCTCTGCGGTGTTGATGCTGCAAAGCGGAGCCTAGAAGTGGGGAGAATGTGAATGATAGAGCATAAGGCCTATGAACTTCAATTCACGTGAACAAAAGGTGGTTTCAAATGCACAATCTGGACAATGTGAGGGGGGGGGGTATGACTTCCAGTGGTCCACTTTCTCAGGTGATAAGAAAAGTGATTTGGAGTATTGCCATCCTGGAATTGCCAGAAAGGGGCTAGGGTCACCTTATCCTAATGACCCCTCCCCCTCCTCCCCCTTTCTTGCGATTTTGGTAGCTTTCTCTTGCAAATTCACCAAATAACGTGAGTGATTGTAGTGCATTTCGTTTGCCTAACCACGAATGCCCATCCAAATCATGTTGGCATACTTTTAAAACCAGCCCACCTATAGGTGCTATTTGTCATTGTCACGCCTGATAGAAAAAGGGAGAAACCTTTGAAAAAAAGCACTTTAGAGAATCCCGGCTTCTGCCAGATCACTGACTGAGCAGATTTAAACAATGTCCCCACTGACCTCCGACTATTACTAATGTGTTGAAGGTACCAGACAATCAGCGATCAATATTAGTGCAGCGTAGCTTTAATTATACTCCTTATTAGTAATCAATTTCAGTAGGCTCTCCCTCTCTCTCGTCTCCATATCTCAATCTCTATGGCATAGCAGTTTAATACTGGGGTGCGCAATAGACTTACCTCCACGTGGTGCACCCTGGGCAACGTATACTCATACGGCAAAAAAGTCTATTAACTGGCAGTTGACTTCTGACTTCAAACTACCATGGCCCGTTCATTTGTCATATTCGACCCCTTCCACAGTATTCGTCTTACCTTTTTATGCCTTTGTGTCTATCTGTCTGTCTGTCTCTTTTATATCTTTGAAACACTCTTATGTTCCCCCCCCCTCTCGACTTTTTGTCACTTTGATGTTCCTTCTCCCCTCTGTGAAGCCCCGAAGTCAGCTCCAATGTGGAATAATAAAATTAATAATAATAATAATAATAATAACAGGATATTTCAAGTCTGCNTTAGACTACGTACCGGACACGATTGCTTGCCAAAACACCTTCACAGATTGGAAGTATACACTCAACCCACATGCCCTCTATGTAACCTATAGGAGGAAATGGAGAAGACCCACCTGATTCGGTGTCCAGCCCTTAAGACAAGGACGGAAAGCCAAAGATACTGGGAAGCAAGAAGACAGCTAATGAACTGCTATTAATTAACTGCTATAAATGTACCCCCCCCCCCTCTCTCTTGGGGGAAGCTGAAGTCAAAGATTAAGGGCTAATGATAAATATCATAAAGCCTGCCATTTGAAATAAATAAATAAATAATAGATTTAATCATAGAGCACTGATTAATTGGAGTACACAACAGTCAGGGCCAGACGAAGATATCTCACGGGCACTCAGATAGACTCGAAGGTGCGTCCGTGTAACATGTTACTTAGGGAGCAAGTACACTATGAGCCCAGAGACCTCTCAGCCACCAATCAATTGCCCCCAGCATTGTCTGACAAATCCTTCGTTGTATTGTTAGAAATAAACTTCGCGCAAGTGATGCATTCCAGATAAACGTGTTTCAAACCATACACCTGTATCCTATATATTATTAGGGGATCTTGCTATAGAGATAACTTAGGATAAGTCCAAACTTGTTGGCATATCAATCCGCTACACTTGTAACCATGAGAGGACTTCATTCACATGTACCATTTGAAGAACCCAGGCAAGGTATTTGAAAATTTCTACTTTTCTTCCTGTTGGTAAACTAATTACTATTAACTTTAAGTAAAGCTCCTAATAGATAATTACTGAAATATTAAGCAGCTTCAGTGATGGTCGCGCACTGATTATTACCAAAAAAGGAAGATTGTAAAAGTACTAATAAAATTATTCACTAGAAATTAAATTAGATGGGCACAAGTCACGGCTGTATTTAAAACAGAATAGCAATGACGATAAACAATGTACTTTATGGTGTTAGTAGTGCAGTTTGCAGCATACAACCGTGAGAGGGAGAGAGAGCATTCGAGTTGACAGCAGAAAATTGAAAGGCCTCACTACAAATGCTATCTGGGCGAGAAATGCATGGTGGAGAGTGAAAAATATGGCCATGGTCTTGAAACCAACGACCTCCGTCACTCTTTTCACAAGGGTCCCCCGTAGCCTAATAATTTTGAAGTACCCATTTCGTATATATTTGCATAATTCTTCCTTTCACAAGCAATTTTAAATTTGTTAAATTAGTGGAGGACAAATGTCTAAATTTAACAAGCTCTAAAAACGTGTGTGTGAATTTAGGGAAATTACATAGTTGTATATTCAATATTTTTGGGGTGTGCGATAGACTTACCTCCACGTGGTGCACCCTGACAAGGGGTGTGCGATAGACTTACCTCCACGTGGTGCACCCTGGTGGGTGTGCGATAGACTTACCTCCACGTGGTGCACCCTGGGAAACGTATACTCATACGGTAAAAAGTCTATTAACCGGAAGTTTGTGTGCGATAGACTTACCTCCACGTGGTGCACCCTGGGCAGCGTATTTTCTTACGGCAAAAAAGTCTATCACTCGGCTTTCGCTATTTGCATACGGCAAAACGTCTATTAACCGGCAGCTGACTTCAAACTACCATCACCCCACTGTATGTCATATTCCACAACTTCACTATACTCACCTCACCTTTTCTCTACCTTTGTGTCTGTCTGTCTCCTCTACATCTGTGAATCACTCTCCTGTTCCCCCTCTCGACTTTTTGTCACTTTGATGTTCCTTCTCCTTTCTGTGAAGCCTGAAGTCAANTTTCCTAAAAGCCCAACAGTTTCCAAAGTTGAAATCGGTTCAAGTACCCATATTTAAGACCAGGTTGGTCCAAATATATTTATTTATCTATTTCAAATGGCAGGCGTTATGATATGTATCATTAGCCCTTTAGTTGACTTCGGGCTTCACAGAAAGGAAGATGAACATCCAACTGGTAAAAAGTCGAGAGGGGGACAGAATAATGATTCACAGACGTAAAAGATACAGACAGACACAAAGGTAGGAAAAAGGTGAGGTGAATACTGTGGAATTATTCGAATATGAAATGTAATGGGGTCATGGTAGTTTGAAGTCAGAAGTCAACTGCCGGTTAAAAGACTTTTTTGCCGTATGAGTATACGTCGCCCAGGGTGCACCACGTGGAGATAAGTCTATCGCACACCTCTGGTCCAAATATTAGTATTTCTCACCCCTTAAATACTGTCCTGTGCGTTTCTTGTCTAATTACTCCTTTTTTAATCGCTCAGTGGAATAGATGCAATTTTTTAAATATCGATTAATTTCCGGTCACATAAAGTTAAAATTTCTCGTTATTTTCGCTATGCGAAAATAGGGACATCTATCCCGGTGACCGAATCAGATATACTTCTCCTGTCGTTAATAATTACGCACTTCATTCCTTCCTTATTGCCTGTCCACCAGAGTTAAGTAAAGGTGAAAAAGAAGCATTCGTTTTTTCTAACCGTTCTCCATCTTGCAAATATCAATTTTTCATCCAGGCTCTACCCCACGTAGAGCCTCCCCACGCGTGTCTGAGAAGGAGTGTAGTGAGTTACGCGTCCACACTCACTTACGCACTCACCGATACGCTTTGGTGCGTCCGTGTGGAGGTCCAACTGCTAAATTTAGTAGCTTCCAATTTTGGGCCATCTTCGCTCCATCTGAGTGAGTCACGGTCCTAGTGTAGACAGTGCGCACCCGCGATACAGATACTGAAAAATTTGACCTTGGGGAGGAAAGCGTGAAACTGTCCCCTTCCGTGTGACGCGAATGACTGCCATCCTGGAACCACCCTCTTTTTTGTCGGTCTCCACTTTCTGTTCTACCATCTGCATGTGCTAGTGCAGATTCTAAAAATAGTATCTTTGTTTTACGAAGACGCTGCTGCAAGGAGCGTTATCTGATCAGGAAAGGTATTTGCTCGACAAAGATTATTAAAACTTTCCTTTCTCTCTAATGCAATTAAAAGGGGATTTCCGATAAATGCTAATTTTAGTGGAATTATACTTATTCAAAGAAAAAAGGAAAATAAACAAATTTTCAAAATAGGCAATTATTTCAGAAAGAGTCAAATGAGGGCAAAAATTGAAATCTTATTGTCACCCCTAATATCATACTGTTCTAAATCTCAACTTTTATGATTTCCCTCTTGGATTTCTGAGTGAGTTCTTGTGCTCTATATTTCGAGCTTATGGGGTGTGTGATAGACTTACCTCCACGTGGTGCACCCTGGGCAACGCATACTCATACGGCAAAAAAGTCTATTAACCGGCAGTTGACTTCTGACTTCTAACTACCATCACTCCACTGTATGTCATATTCGACTACTTTCACAGTACTCATCCCACCTTTTTCCACCGTATCTACCTTCGTTTTTGATACACTCTTCTGTTCCCCCCCCCCCTCTTGAATTTTTTACACTTTGATGTTCCTTCCCCTCTGTGAAGACTGAAGTCAACTAAAGGGTTAATGATAACAATCAAAACGCCTGCCATTTGATATAATAATAATAATAATTTCGAGCTTATTGACAATTCGGTTTAATTGATTGTCAAATAGGGCCGCTTTAAGAGACTCGTCTCATAAGTGGATAGATAAGAAAATCGAAGACTTTATTCATAATAGAACTCATCAAAGCTTTTCAAGTGAACTCTAGTGTCGACTTACACGCATCTTTCCTTCTGTAAACAGGCAAATCTAATATGCCGGAAAAAGGAAGTTTTTGCACTTTGATTCATCCAAAACGCCCAAAATTCTCCACCGAGATCAAGTCACCCAAATGTCATGGTCAGTCTTACCACACCGTAGATAAACCAACACCTGCTTGCCGTCCTAGGTGATCGCAGTAGTGAATGATAAAAGAAAGCAAATGGAGGAAATCAGTCGTACTAAAAGTGGTTGCACAAAGTGCAGGCTAGGATACTCCCTCCCCCCCTCCATCATCATCTCAAATAAATATTCATCGATCTCACACTGATCTTAGTCCTGTTGGATCTATTCTCGGAATCTCCTATCAAGTCCTTGTAGATTTGTATTAAGATGAGCCTCACTTAACAATCTCCCCCCAGATATTCGTTAAGCAGATTGTACCAACAGTTATTGCTGCCAGAAATGCCACTCAGTTCCCTTCCACTCGAATTTGAGGACATTCGTTGAGTTCTAAATATTTCCCTTACGTCGATCCCAGCCTTCAGGATGAGGAACTCACCAACAGCGTGAAAAGCACCTTCTCGTGCCACAAGAGGAGACAGTTGAAGAGATTTTTAATTCCATATGAGCACATGTGACCCCCCCCCCTTCGCATTGGAATGCCGATACTCCAGAGATCCGGCTATTACTAATCAGATGGCCTCAAA